CGATGGGGGTACCTAGCACTGTGACGCCTTGTTCTGCAAGCGGGGTGTCGTGACCGCCAACCCAGAGCGGCGGCGCGTCAGGGGGTGCGGGTGGCCAGGCAGTGGGGGAGGCACCACTAGCGTTCCACATGCGGGTTTTGCCTTGGTGTAACGTGACGTTGGCGTGGCGCCGGAGTGCCTGTTCCAGATGTTCGTAGAGGACCCGCGTGCGCTCAGGGGCGCAGAGGATGTAAGTATCGTCCAGAAGAAGATTTTTTTGTATAGGGGGCTTCTGTTAATGCAAAGGTTCCAAAAAAAATGGGATTTCAATTTGGGGATATTTGACTTAGTGGTATGCTATGGTTTTGTTCTATTTGTTTCTTTATCTTTGGTTTACTTGTTTTCAGCATTATTTTGCCCTATCTGTATCTCCTCTTTATTTCTTGGTTTCGAATCTGTTGTATTTTTCATTTCTTCTCTTACCTCATTCTGTTTCATTCTGATTTTTTCTAGGGTTGAGTGTATATTATGTTTATATATATAATATTAATTATATATATATATACATAAAAACACACTATATATGTTGTTTGTATTCTGGATTGTTTTCTCTCATCCTTAGGCTTACTGCTATGATAAATTATGTTCTTTGCTCCTGTGTTCTTTGCTATATTTTGTGTTGCTTTCTGGTATTTTTATGTGCAATGTTTTTTTTTATTTGTGCATATTTCTCTTATTTTGTTGCTTGGATTTGCATAACTACTAGTCGTTGGGTATCTTCATTTTTCCATGGTTGTAGTTGCTTTTTCTTTTGCACGTTCTAGGTTTGCGTGGCTTGGTTTGTTGTCTTGTTCGTTGATTTCTGGTGGTGTCTCTGTTTTTTAATGTCAAATTTCAATGTAATGCTGTTAAAATGTCGAGACTGTATGTATGTCTATCTGTTTGTCTATCTATCTATCTATCTATCTACCTATCTATCTATCTATCTGTCTACCTATTTATCTATCTACCTATCTATGCATGTAGGTATGTATGTATGTATGTATGTATGTATGTATGTATTTATGTATGTATGTATGTATGTATGTAGGTATGTATGTATGTATGTAGGTATGTATGTATGTAGGTATGTATGTATGTAGGTATGTATGCATAATGTAATGTAATGTCATGTCATGTCATGTCATGCCATGTATGTAATGTATTATGTTTGCATGTATGCATGTATGCATGTATGCATGCATCATGTATCTGTATCTATGATGATGCTGGGGCACATGAGACTGCCATGGGTGTAGGGGAGATGGCAGCCGGAGCCAGCAGGGCGCAAGAGAGCCAAGTGAGGAGAAAGATCCTGGGTGGGTGGCGTAGGGAAGGGCAAAGCATTTGGGTGGAGCTGTAAGAATGTTCAAGAGTAAGAATGTTCAAGATGTGGTGGGCCCAGACAAGTGCCTGTTTGTTTGCCCTAAACCTTGTTTTCTTTTTTGTAGGGGGTACCCATTGCAGCTATGGCAGGGCCAGGGCTGGGGGGAGGGAGGGCGATTCTCTTGGAGAATGGTGAGTGGGGGCTGTATGTAGGGAGATGGGCACAGTTGCATTGGGCTGGGGTCGCCGGGCCTGTTCACGCAGCAGCTGCTCAAAGCAAGCAGGCAAGCAAGGAGTCAAGAGTGGAGATGTGGAGATGTGGCATTTCCAATTGGGGGGTCGGTTCTGTTTCCACCCTGCACAGCAAAGAGGCTAAAGATAGCAAAGTCTTGTTTTATTTTTGGTTTTTGGACTGGGTTCACCTGGGTTTTTCCAGGGAAAAGTGGTTTTAGGCACACCGGTTCTGTTTCCACCCTTATTTCAGAACCGCATTTCGGAACCGGTCTTGGCCCCATTTTTGCAGGGGTTTCGGGTAAAAGTCTTGTTTCGCGCGGTGAGGCACCACCAAAAGTCTGGTTTCTGGTTTTCTGGTTTTTGGGGCGTTCTTTAGCTAATCACTAACTTATTTCTTACATTGGGTAGCGTTGAAAGCCTAGCTCGATATTTAATTCAAGCCATGGCAAAGCCACCGAAACGTAGAAGCAAAAGCGGTCCACAAAGGGGTCCAGCGAGGCGAAAGGGACGATCAATTGGCATATTTTGCGCCAATGCAAAGTGTCGCAACAAAACAACTGATTGCAAGAATAAACCATTTGCTCTCAGCCGTGCTGAAGTGGATGAATCCTGCTGTAGGTCCTTGAGGCCCCAAGCACGATTGGTGAAATTTTGCAGCCAACAACATTTGGAACTCTGCAGGAAAAAAGTTGTAAACAAACGAGGAGGTAGAGAAGCGCTCAGTACAGAACAAGTCTCACTATTTTTTGCAACTGTTGTGCATGAGTGCCATGCACCATGGGCAGGCGCACTCCTACTTGTACAACTCTGTTTAGGTGATCGGGCAGATGCAGCAAGGCAAGCTAGCACAAACTGGTTTAAGAACATAGATCCTCATGGCAAAGGTTTGCCTGAGGCAAACATTCCACAAGTGAATGGTAAGACTCACCCACGGTGTGTCCCACTACCGCTAAGTTTTGCTAGGCTTCTTTGGTCATGGATTACCCAAAAACCGCTTCAATCCGAAAGAGCACAATGGCCTTTGGATGCTCAAGATTTACATGGTGCTGTGTTGAGAAACGAAGATAGGTATCTTTTCTGCGCTCGGACTGGATCTGGGCAGAACAAGCCAGTTATAGACAAACCAATATCCGAACGTTCTTTCCTGAAACAAATCAGGAAAACATGTGACATCCTTTGCAAGCAAAGGGTGGAGCACCATCGGGCAGAAAAAACCCACACCTTTGATGATGTCGATCTGTCAAAAGTAGGAACACATTCTTGGAAAAAGACAGCTGTTACCCTCATGAAGGATGGCCATGTAAGCACATCAATCATATCCACAGTGACAGGGACATCAGCCAGAACTTTAGATGATGTGTATGATGTGCCGACACAGAAGCGCCAGCGACAAGTTGTTGATGCCATTTTGTCCCCAGTCATGGCGCGGGTGACGGAACCTGCTGGTGAGACAAGCGGCTCTGCAGAACCAAGTAGGCACACTGCCAAAGAAAGTCAGAATCCATGTTATGTTTGTTCCAAACTTGTTGACATCAATTGGCAGTATTGTGCCTTCTGCGGCTCACGTTTGCACCATTCAGCATGAGAAATTTGAAGCAATTCATTATCCGAATCGTCTAGTTTTAGGTAACACAAAAAATGGGAATATCTATATCTATATCTATATCTCTATCTATCTATCTATCTATCTCTCTCTATCTCTTCATCTATGTATTTATCTATCTCTCTCTCTCTCTCTTCATCTATCTCTTCATCTATCTATCTATCTATCTGTCTATTTATCTATCTATCTATCTATCCATCTATCCATCCACCTATCTATCTATCTATCCATCTATCCATCCACCTATCTATCTATCTATCTATCTGTCTGTCTATTTGTCTATCTATCTATCGATCGATCGATCTATCTATCTATCTCTCTCTCTATCTCTTCATCTATCTATCCATCTATCTATAGGTAATGCTCCAAATCAGATGCTGTCAATAGGAATTTGCTGAACATTCCACTTGCAACGTCGCGAGGCTACCATGGTTGCTGCCATCATCAATTCAAGGGGCTTGTTGTTCTTTCCCAAAACATCTATTCGCAAATCATTGGCTGCAACGGTGACTGGAAATAGATTGCGACCATTCGTATTTTTCGAGATTTACAAAACCCATGTCTTGATTGGTTCGTCGAAATACGTGTTGGGGAAATCCCAATCCTGAAGCCCAGAAAAAACTCACAGGAAAGTGCAGCAGCCATGGTCATATGAACCCGCTTGCTGCGTCAGTCAACGTACCTGGCGTCTACAGTAGTGATGAAACCGTTCTTCATCATGCCCCCTGAAGATCAGAGTAAGGAACCCGTCTAAATAACCACCAAACTGGGGCAGTCTCAGTCTACACAATAATGACCAATTCCCCAAATGCATTGTTGGGCCAGCAATACTTATGGTTAGTTATATTTTTTCACTATTAGCATGGGTTCCATTAGTTGGGAAGTAACATCCAGATAAAGGACAATTTCTGAATCCATTGGGGGTTAGTAGACCTGGCGATCAACCCAAACAATGCCTTGCACTCAGTGGTTGGAGTTGTTGCATCCAGTAATTTGATGGGAAGTACAGCAGCATTCTGAAATTGCCATTACGTTTCAACTGGCACATTTATGGAAAGCTTTCTGCAACCTTTTTTGGTCCCATAGCCAAAAATTAGATTGACCGTGGATACATTAGAGCAAACCATATGTTTGACAGTTGGAGGGCCCCTCCCCATCAACAGATATAACAAAGGTTGACTTCATCAATCCCTGTCTAGATCACCTGCCCACCTAGCTCATCCACTCATTGCCAACTGAGCTGTTCGTGGAGGGTTGTTGCACGGCCTTGGCAGCAGGACGCCGTGGCTCATTGAGGCAGCGGGTTTCATTCCAACAACTAAAGATATTGAGATAATTGCCAAGGACTTGCCAAACGGTTAAAAACCTATAAGCACCCCACTTATTACACTTGGGTTTCATGTGTTTTGACTAGTGGAATCCAAATTATATCTTTTGGGAGGATACTGGTACAATCAGAATGACATAGATCCAGTTTTGGACAAACAATCTTTGTCAAGATCTATTTCACCTTCAGCAAGGGTGTGAAAGCAGCATTTTTCCCTCCCCTGGTCATGGTCCGCCTGAGCGGTCTTTCAGAGGCTCGAATCCCGTGGAACTGGAACATGGGGGACCAGGATCAACAGCACAATTGTTTTTTTGTACCAGAAAATATTTCGATATCCAAATGGCTTGAATAGGCCCCCAGTCCCCCATGTTGTGGAGCGGCCTTTGGCTCAATGTCAGAGCCTTCGTTGCCACGATACCCAAAGTACACTCATTTTTTCAAAATATGAATGTAATCCCATTTCCATTTTCTACTGTTTGAGTCGGAAAATCTCTAAAACAACTCACAGCACCGAGCTGGGGGCAAGTTCACTTCTCGGATGAGCACCACTTGGGGCCGAATGGGCATCAATCCAGAAACACCCCATTTCACTGAGAATACAATCTTAGTGGCATGACTGTTCCACACCGTGTTTGGGATCAACTTGGCTGCATTCTGCTGCCCAGCGGTTCCATTGCTAGACCCATTGCCTTCGTCGTCACCACCTTCTTCTTGGGCAACCCCAACACCACCACTCACGGGTACCCACCACACATCATGGGATCTCTTCAAATTGAAATTTCCCGGGCGCTTTTGATCTGGGTCCTCAGCCATGACATGGTATGCAACTTTGACTTTGGGGACCTTCTGCATCTGGGCTTGAACAACCTCGAACACGGTCTTCAGGTGCCCGTTGAAGAGTACCTGGCGAGGCGAGACAGCTTGATGGGGGTATGCAGCAGCAAACATGAATGGGGCATTGTGGTCTTCGGATTTATAGATACCTGATATAGATAAAGTTTAGGCGAAAAAGGCAGATTCCAAGCCCAGTTGGAATAAAACAATGAAATAGTATAAAACAATAACCCACAAACAGACAAACCAACACATGATAAATAAGAAATAAATAAACACATAGATAAATGAATAACAGAAAGAATAGGGTCCCATATATCGACAATAGAATATTCTTTCCATACATGTGCTGGGGGTTGAAGTCTACAAGCCGAGACCAAATAATACGTTCCCTCATATCCACAATGAAATAATATTCGTCCCATAAATTTGCTGGGGTTGAAGTCTACAACCCGAAACCAAACAATAGGGTCCCATATATCAACAATAGAATATTCTTCCCATACAATTGCTGGGGGTTGAAGTCTACAACCCCAAACCAAATAATAGGGTCCGATATATCGACAATAGAATATTCTTCCCATACTTTTGCTGGGGGTTGCAGTCTACAACCCCAAATCGAATAATAGGGTCCCATATATCGACAATAGAATATTTGCTGGGGGTTGAAGTCTGCAACCCTAAATCAAATAATAGGGTCCCATATATCGACAATAGAATATTCTTCTTATACATTTGCTGGGGGTTGAAGTCTACAACCCCAAACCATACATGATGAATCCCGAACATCCCAGCTACGAAATCATCAGGGCCGGTCAAGTTGAAGAGCACTTCTGTCCGGGGATTGGCCTCCTGTGATTGCGCATCAGCGAGCCTCCATTTGCCCTTTCCATATCCGCAAAGGATCAGTCCTGCCTTGAGTGAGGCTTCCTGATTTCCGGTGTTGAACAAATAGGGACGATTCTGGGGCTTCAGATGAAGTTGGACACCTTCGATTTTGGCATTGATCAAAGGCGTTTCCAACAGTGCACCACCTGCACCTACTGACTCGATGGTTTTGATCTTGTTGGTATCTACCTTGAGTTTCTTCGTAGCATCATTTCCATTCTGAGCATTTTTACGTTTGCGCACAGTTCGGTTTTCACCATCCTTGTTGTTCTGCCCGTCTTTCTCCTTGTCCTTTCCATTCTCCTTGTCCTCCTTCCCAGTCTCCTTGTCAGAATCTTGGGGGATGGGTCCGAACTCCTCCACCAGCTGGTCCAAGAAACTCTTGAACTCGTCCCCGAACTGCTCGTGTGAGCCATACTCCTGGAAAAGGGATACCACGAATATATGTTTCTACGGGCAGGTGTCAGGATACATATCATATAGAGTCTTATGTGTTGTACAGTGACATTTTTCATTGATTGATATATGCAATTTGTTATTGTACCATATTATACCTATTTGAGCCTATACTGGTCTTTTATTCAACCCTGCTCACGCCTGCAGCAGGTTCTGTGGAATCATTGGGTAGAAGTCCGATCGTGGAATCATCAAATTGAGGCGCGGAGGCTCTGGTTCCTTCTCCAGAATGTCAGAGGGACATTCCAGCACTGGCTTTGGGAATCCAGGAATGGTTATGTTTCCCTCCATGTGAAGGCGTCCAAGCAATTCCTGGGCAATGTCTTTTCAGGGGCAAACATCGTTGCCGGAGTCGTGTGTATATACGCATAACATGTGTTATTTTTTATCAGAAACCATTTTGACATAATAACGATTGATGGAAAAGAACAATATATATATATGCTACATATATAAGCCTAATAAAACAAGATTTCATGCCATGATGTCTTTTTATTCTCATCAATCCACGATCTCCTTAGAGGTCGTTGGCCTGTTTCAACGATGATCACCAAAAATCTAAGTGGATGATATCCAGAGAAAAATAACCAAGTGGGCCAAGTAATGTGCATTCATAATATTTTATCTGGAGCTGCATTTAAGACATCCAAATCCAAACAATATGCTTTCAATTCCTCCCCAAAAGCAATATAGTGAAGAGATTAAATTGGGTGGACTATGATTTTCTTTGGGCCAAATGGGCACTGGGTAGTATTCAGGAAAACCGCAAATTCGCAATGAAGCATCATATGGATCTGAACATTTTCCCATTTCACAGCAACATAGCTAAGGTTCAAAGAGAATGGATCCCTGGGGCCTAGTGGGTTGGGTCATACTCATCGAGATTTGGAAGAACTGGCCATGGAGCATTTTGAACAATATGGTTCTCTACGTAAAGGATAAGAGGGAAACTCAAGGGGAAAAACTTCTTTGGGGTTATTGTATGCCACAGTTATCAATGTTAAGGTTTGAGGGCCCCCACCATGTAATGGATCTCAAACAAGTGACCGGTTTCTGCATGCCAAACCACTCCGCGGTCTGAAAGTCATCAGTGCACCCAATGTAGAAGACGGGCATGTTCCATGTAGACTTCAGATTCGCAAAAGCATCGAACATGTTTCCTACTGACATGTTCAAGTCAACGATGAACACCCCTGATCTCCCAGTCATCTGCAAATCAGTCATCATTCCCAACAAGAGTTTCTCACATGCGTTCTGGCCAATTTGCTCCACTTTTCGGGCACCACCAAACAGGTGCTCTTCGCCTTCAGGAGCACTGATTGCAACACCGCGGGATTGGTCTTCAAGGGGGGGTTCAATCATTACCATGTCCTTGGTGTGGAGTTGGGTGGCAAGTTCAGTGCGACCCTCACGCCACAGAGGGGCGTTTTTCCAAGTGAACTCCTTGTTGGATTTGGTACTCAGCCCTTCCATGAAACGGCCACGGTAGTTCAGTGGTCGCATGTTGTCACGTTGGTCCACCTGACAGAGAAGCCACGGGTAAGGTTGTTTGGATGGTTCAGCTGATACCAGGTGTCCATATGCATTCTTGGGACTTTATGTGTATGGCAAAGGTAGGTTCTGTTATATAATAGATGTAAAAATACACACACACATATATATATATATATATACATAGATAGATAGATAGATAGATAGATAGATGAATTGCTAGATGGATAGATGGATGGATAGATAGGTAGATAAATAGATAGTTAGTTACTTCTGCCCATACACAGGGTGTAACATACTGTTTCTACAGACTTGAAACTGATGATTAACCATTCAATCATCTTTCGCAACTGTTTCCTAAGAGATTCAATCAATGCTGACTGGCCTTCTCTTTGAACTGAAGAGAGAAACTCTTATCCAGCGAGATTCCATGGTGAGCCAACTGTTTCATGGTGCTGCCCTCCAACATCCACAACTCCCCTTTCTTGTAAGTGAACTCTGGCTCCAGGAGCAAACCAACACTGCGGGCTGATTGGGACAAGATGAACGAGGCGCCAGATGATTGGGCGGCCCGTGCGTTGGCCTTCAGTGTCGAAGGAGCACTCCAATTGAGGAAAACCAGGCATGCCTGAGATTCAAGAGCACGACAAAGACTCGGAAAAAACAGGTAAAACATATTTGGTTTGTATCTATTCATTTTTACTTGATGTGTTGAAGTCAGGGGACATTGCCAGACTCATCGAGTTTCAAGCGCTCGGTTTTGTCACTCATGAAGCTCTGAATTGACCGGAGCAAGTCATCACTTTGGGTGTAGGTGATCACCTTGCAATTGTCGTTGATGAAAACCCTAGCCGCCTTTAATGACTCCTCATACACTTTGACTCGGTATTGGAGCTTCGTGTGACGCACCTGGAGTTCATAGGAAGACATCTTGGCCTTGGCCACTCGGCATGCCTGCACATCGTACTGAAGTTGTTTCATGCGTAGTGAGAACGTTTCTTCTTCCAACTTCGACATCTCATGCACTGCCACACTCGGAAGTGGTGCACTTTGATTGTGCGTGTTCATCACTGCAGCAATTGAGGGGATATCCCGCACATTGGTACAGTCCCGGTTCATGATGGCTGATTGCACTTCGAGAAGCACACTGGGATCCCCATGCCTAAACATGCCAACCCACTTCTCCTCCAGCAAGTCAGGTGAAACCGGCATCAATGCCAGGACCTCTTCCCTCACAGACATCACGAAGGCTGCCTCCTCAGCCGAGGCCTCCATTTGTGCTTTGTCGATCTTTCTGCGCATAGATGGTAGGATTTTGCGATGGCAATGCACTTGGTGTTGGACCTCATGTTCAGAAAAGAAAACAGACATCTTCATGGAGTCTGTGTTCGCCTATTTTTCATTCTATGGAACGCTCGCATGACAGGAAAATAAACGTTCTTTGTGCAATTTTAGTTTGATCATTCTCATGTGCTCTATAAAAGCAATGGTTTTTCGTATCTAACGGATGTGTTAATATGATGTACTGCTGCTACTTCACCACAGGTATCTCCCTATAGAACAAAGATATATAAGTAGATCACATAGATATAGGTGAGATAGTTGATAGGAGGGAAAGATGGCTGAGAGATACCGGGTATGTGGTGTCCAAAATTGACGCTTTGAGCTTGCATTTCAGGCCTATTTCGGACACCAGTTTGTGCCTCTATTTTGGGCCTATTCTTAACGCTGCCACAAGGACTTGGGGCATCCACAGGCACCCCAGTTTTGAAACATACAAAAACCAAATAGATTCCTATATGGATCGTGTTTTTTTTGGTTTCAAGCAGAAAACTTTAAGGGGTAAAATAACACCCCATTTTGAGACATTCCCCAATGATAGATACATAGGTAAATAGACAGACAGACAGATAGATAGATAGATGTATAGACAGGCAGATAGATAGATAGATAGGTAGATAGATAGATAGATAGATTGGTAGATAGATGGATAGATGGATCGTTCCAAAGATAAACAGACAGATGTAGATAGATAAATAGGTAGATAGGTAGATAGATGCACAGATAGGTAGAGAGATAGTTAGATAGACAGGTAGATAGATATAAATAGAAGCAGATACATATAGATAGGTATAGATAGATGGTAGACAGATATTGAAAGTTACAGATATGTAGGTAGATAGACAAATAGATACTTGGATAGGAAGACAGGTAACCAAGAGATACATCAACAGATAGATAGATAGGTAGGTAGATGGATAGAAATATAGATAGGCAGATAGATAGATAGATAGATAGATAGATAGATAGGTAGGTAGGTAGGCAGGTAGATAGATAGATAGATAGATATGATAAGAAAGATAAGGTAATATATATATATGTAGGTAGATGGATAGAAATATAGATATGCAGATAGACAGGTAGATAGGTAGATAGATAGATTGATATGATATGATATGATGTGATTATGTGATATGATAAGGTAAGATAAAATAAGATAATATAAGATACGATAGATATATGTAGATAGATGTAGATACATGTAGATAGATGTAGATACATGTAGATAGATATAGATACATGACCAAGAAATATCCACAGTTAGATACATCAATGAAACAAGTAGATAGTTTGATCGATAGATACCTTGAACGATAAACTGATATCTAGATACACGTGTAATCCTTTTCCTACTTCGAACAAATCACACCGTCCAATCCCCGAATTGTGCTGAGGAGATGCCATCAGCCGATTGCTCTCCTTGGTGACCTTGCCACGAGCTTGCCATACAGGACCCGCATTGCACTTGAACCTGGGCATGTTTGAAGGTTTGGCATGGAACATGGCATGGAACATGGTACTGGATCTATGCATTTCGAGGTGGGCTTCAGGCAAAACAGGATTGGAAAAAATGGTGGGTGGATTGCTCACCGGTATCCAAAATTAACAGCTTGGTTTCTATGTATTCGACCAAATAACTGAAACCCTGGCAAAATCTTCTTTGATGAGAGGTTGTCATCGGTCCAGCCAGTGTTTTCGTGCCCGATCTCAAT